AACTTTGAACCGCAGAGCCAGCCAGCTTGCATATTTGGATGTGTTTGCACACAAGCCCTCATACACATGTGTTCATTGGAAACATTTACAAATGTATTGCGACTATAAACATTTTACATGAAACAAAGAAACAAATTCAAAATCGAAATCTAATAAAAATTTCCATTCTTCTATGCGCAGTTAACTTTATGCGACATTTATGCGTGTACAAAGTGTTAAGTGCGTAGGAGAGCAATATTTGCTGCTGCTTGGCTGCCTCGGCACCCTGCCACATAAAGGCGGCGCTTGAGGCACGCTGCTACGCAGCAGCCGCAGCAGTAAAATGCTTATGAGTATGTAAGTACGTAATATATATGCGAATACACTCACATTTATATACATATACATATCTTTTATCTTTGGCAAACTTTTAAACTTTTTAAAATCGGCAAGGCAAGGCTAAAATGAAAGAAAATCAGACGAACTTCAGAGGCTTTTTGTTTCAGAATAGAAAAACCCCATGCTCATGGTTAGAGTACGGTCTGAGGGAAAGGCTGGGGCTGATGTTGAAAGCCATTTTGCCAGCACGGCTGGCGAGCATTATTTGGTAAAGAATATGGCCGCATTGCATTTGTTGGGCAGGGGTGGGTCTAGGTGGGAGGGGTGAGCTGCATTGGTCTCTGTGTGTGAAAAAGTATGCGCAAACTTTCGTAATTTATGTCATACGAAGTGTTAACCGCATGATGGCTGCACGCCGGATTGGATTTACATTGCTAAAAACTCCGGCAAGCGAAACTTCACCGGCGCCGTTTGCCCTGCCCGCTGGCCCTGCCCGTTGCCTCTGCCGCTGTCGTTGCCGTTGCCGTTGCCGTTGCCGTTGCCGTTGCCGTTGCCATTGCCATTGCCGTCGCCCAGACCCAACTTTTGCTGCCTTTGCAACTACTTTTTATTGGTGTTAAGTTAGGGTTCCAGGGCTTCTTAATTGTTTTTCGCTTTATGGCCAGTCCGAATATCAAATTAAATCTGCCTTGTATAGCTTCTGGTCAGGCTTTTAGCTGAGCCCCAACTTCAAACCCCTCGCCCTTCACAGTTGAATGACTAATGAAAGTTATTTAAATAAGTAAATGTTCATTTGAAGTGCGCCTTTTCAATGTTCATTTCGATTTATATTTAACTTTTACCGCATGCGAATTCCTAACTCCAATTTTTTACTTTTCTGTTTTGTTTTTGAGGTCCTTTTCTTCTCTGAAAGTCATTTACTGCGCCATGGGCGGCGCGCTTACAAATTTGTATCTCATTTGTGATTAATTGCCCTTCAATTTTTGAAATTATTTCCATGCCATGCCCCACAAAAAAAAAAAATGAAAAAGAATAAGGTTCTTCCAAATGTAGCTGGCAGGATCTGTTACATTTGTCTGGACCAACTTTTTACATGTAGCTCTAATTTTCTTTTCTTTTCCTTTTATTTATTTTTTTAGCTGGCGCATTAAAAAAACAAAAAAGGGACTTTATGCCAAATTTAATTAGGCGCAAAGAGCGTCTAGTTTGAGTTTGGTTGAACACAAGACAAACGAGCGCCCGTCTCTGACTTGAAATGCTGCCAAGAGCGGCCAAATGATTTTGGGCCCGCGCCTTGAAAAGGGTTTACTGTCGACTTTTGCTGGCAATCCCCAAAAATTATTATTTTATAATTGAACATTAATCAAACGTTCAGCTAATTTCGAACAGCTATCCAAGTAGCTTCCGACCGATTATTGGGGCTACAAAGCGCATTACTCATACGTCATGTGGGCTCACGTGAGTCGAACAGCTTGCGTTAATAAAATCGCAGCTGATGAAATGTGGCACATGAATAGTGACGTTTGACTTTGACATATGCAGCGAGCGACACCAACTCTGTTCTACCTATGCGTATGTATGTGTGTGCTTCCCGCTCGCACACTCTCGCCCTGCCTATTATGTTGCAGGGCGCCATTCTATGGCAACTATAACAACTGTATTAAATTGCCAGCAATTACGTTTTTATTGTGCTAAAATGCACCTGTGCATATTCCTGATGGCGCAATTTCGAACAAAAATAAACGACATCAGAAAGAACAACATTGCATGCCAGCCCCCTCTACCGCTACCTCCTTCTCTGCCTGGCATCGGGACACACTGTTGCAAGAAAACCAACAACTGCGGTAACTGTAGAATAACATTTGTAGACTGACCTGACCGACTGCCTTCCCTTCTTGCCCACCCTAAAGAATTAACAGCTCACATGGTTGTGCAAGGGTGTGCGTGCATGTGTGCGGGCAATATTAGCACAGGTAAATGTTGAAAATTAACATTGAACTTTGTCCGAATGGATGCGGCAGACAATCGAGTCTGCTGCACGACCATTACAGCATCAGCGTCGACGTGTCACAATGTTATTGCAATTTTCCGGGGCCCTGCTTCAGCTGCATTGGTGCTAAACCTAATGCCAAGGCAGACATATGAGGCATAGATAACACAGAACTGAATCCAACCGAGCAACCACAACATCCATGGCGCTGGCGCAATGTCAGGCAATCGCTCCGTCCCTCCCACACCTCCACCATCCATTCGCCACTCCTCACCTATCCTTAGTCGCCCGCATCCATAGCAGAGACCCAGACTGACCCCGGCATGCATCGTTGGTTGAGCCAACATTGGCCGGAATGAACACCTCTGCCATGTCACTCAGCGCTCTGCAATGCCAATAACCGGAAAGGCCTATGCACAGTGGTCAGCATTAGTTAATTAAGTGGAAATTAAAAGTTAATCAGCATAAGAAAGATTATTAAATACGCTCGAACACACACAGCTTAAATGGTGTACTAGTTATCCTTTAGAGCTTAATAAAGTTGTTCAAATTTCAAAAATGAATTTTTTTTGGGGTCGATTATTCTTATGAAAGCTTTGCGGGAGAGTTGTTCGATCCGATCGAACTGAAATACTTCTTTGCAGTGAAACAGACAGATAGCCATGGCTCTAATGACTCCACATTTGATACTGATCGAGAATATATACTTTTTATACCCTAAAATGAGAAAATGGGTATAGGTGTATATTGTATTTGTGCAAAATCCAAATGTATGTAACAGGCAGAAGGAAGCATCTCCGACCCCATAAAGTATATATATTCTTGATCAGCGTCAATAGCCGAGTCGATCTAGCCCTGTCCGTACGTCCGTCCGTATGTTTGAACGCAAGGTCTCAGAACCTATAAGAACTAGAAATAGATCTAGTTTGTTTCCGGTAATCGATAACTTACTTCATTTTCAAGCAATCGATAAAAATCAATATCGAAATCCTGTTTTTTGGGCAATTTTGGTAAATAATAAGAGCTAGAGTCACCAAACTTGACATATAGCTGCTAAAATAGTATTTATATACATGCATTTGATGTTGGAAGAAGAGGGTTCAGGGTATCGGGAGCTCCCGCCTAGAACCTCTTACTTGTTACTATTTGATGAGGTTAAAAATGGCTCCTCCTGTGCGTTACACATCTTTATAGTTTGCTACAATTCATGGTAGTTTTGTTAAATAATCTGATTATTTTTCTACAGTAATGGATAAGACATTATTCGACATCCTATCGAAGCTTACGATTATTAAAACTATTGATATTGTCATTGTTAGAAACTTTATATAGAAAGGGAAAAACAATATCAGTCAAATATTAATCTTTTTTCTGTCCGCTGATCATTAAGTAATTGTATTTCATTGTGCGTTGCAATGACAACCACTGTAATTTGTTCGCCCAGCGATTGACTTGCTGCTGTTTGAGACAGCCACTGTTGTCGTTGTCACTGACGCGGCAGCCGCAGTTGCAACAGCTGAGCCAACAACAAAATGCAAATGCTCTTTGAACTTCATTAAGCAGCTGACAGCTGGTCAACTGGGCAACTGGAGAACTGGAGAAGTGGACAAATTGCAGCTGACAAGGGGCAACAACTGTTGATTTGATTTTGATTTGCGGTGGCGAATCAAACTCATAACCCAAAACAGCGTATTATTATATCATAGTAAGCACACACACGCCCACACACGCACATACAAATACGCACAAAAAGGTCAACGCCGGGTCCACATTCAACTGTTGCAGAGAGAACCACAAAATTAGTTGGCAACTGCGGTGGCTTGTGTGGGTGTTAAGTAAACAACTAATGCTTGAGTTTAACGTTAGCGTGAACGTTAAAGTTAACAATAGCTTGACAACCTTTTGCGGTTTGTCAATTGCAGCCATCGTGGTTTGGGCGTGTGTGGTTTTTAGTCCATTCATTAAATGTTTGTCACTCCGTTTGCTGTCCAAGACATTCAATCTTACAACTCTAGCTTTTAGTTAGTCACCGGCCACAAGAGAATTGGTTACACTCCTAATTGAAGATATTGCTATCAGTTGATTGTCATTCTACGGACAAGACATGCAGCTATAAATGGCACTCATTTATGTTCAATGGCAGTAGCTGGCAGCTCTGTCCACAAACCTTGATTTCCTCAAAGTTATGCGTATTGCTTTCAATTTCAAATTTGCTTCTTAGTTTCAAATTGATTAAAATATGTGTAACTGTAATTAGGTTTGGAGTGAATGCTTACTTTATTGTGGGATATTTAAACTTAAATTATCAATGTAATGATTGCTTATAAAAAATATACCATAATAATCATATACCCTCTTGTTTAAAAGTATAGCATGAATAACTGATTTATTGAAATCATAAGAAGTGGGAAGTCAAATTTTTGTTGCAGCAAATTACAGACAGACAGATCAGATATTCGGAATGATCTGACCTTAGCAAGACAACAATATGGTTAACTGATTGTTAACAGTGGGAGCGAACATTAATACAATATCACATCGAAAACACATTTTGGAATTCGAGCTCGGATTATTTTACCTTTTTATTCAGTTCATCTTTCAAAGACTGCTGACTACTTTAGGCTTAAATAACTTTGTAGGCAGCGATTATTATTTCCGTGCTCGGTGCGTAAAAACTGAGCAGGTCTTGAATTTAGTGATTCCTTACAGCGACATTATATTATTTTCCATTAAGACATGCTCGTTATGGCCAGATGCCAAACAGGTGAAACAGGCAGTGACAGTCAACCGAGTTAACGACAACCGAGTGCAGTTTAATTAGCTTCAAAATAAAATGAAATTTGAGCGAGAGATTAAGAGAGAGGGAAGGGAAGGAGAGTACGCTCATTAAAGCGGGCAATGGTCAGCAGATGGACAGAGCTAACCTTACATTTTATATTTATTAACCTTTACGCTGAAGCAAGTAATGTCCTCGTTTCACTGGGCTTGGACTTGCTTCGCCCCGCTGCTCGTCCTGCTTGGCCACAACAATAACTGTAATTTCACTTTATGACTGCAAATCACAACAGCAGCATAAAGGCAGCCGAAGGACAATAAGGACGCACTGTGGCTGACCACGCACTCAGTTGTGTGTGAGTGTGTATATTGTGCGCTGAATGGGCATGGACATTATGAGCCGATCTCATCCTATCTTGCTTTTCAGACCGCCCTAAAATCCGCTGCCCCCCTCTCTTGCACCAATTGCTTGTTTCTGGCAGAGAACGGACAATGGTGCGTATACGCAACCTTTTCTTATGGACAATTGATGTCTCTGTTGACTGAAGCAGCAGCTACTGCTGATGTTACTGCTACCGCTGCTGCTGCTATTGCTACTGCTGCTGCTGCTACTACTGATGCTTCAGCTTCAGTTGGCAGTTACCGACTGTCGTTGTTTGCCCGCCGGTCGCTGGGTCGTTTGAGATGTTGTTGTTAAGTCCGGAACATGACATTAGCCATTAACTCGGTGCATGCACTCGCCTTTGGTTTACATTCGCAAATAAAACACACGCAGGACGAGGGCACAAAGCAGAATCACTGTTGAAATAAAAATGTATAAAAAAGGACATTTGAATTGGACTTATGGGACCACAACAAGCGCCTCACACCCACACACACACACACACAGTTACATTTTATACGTATTATTACAAGGAGCAACGGGGCTGCGCTCGGGCTTAGCTGCAGATATTCCTACAACAGTTAACAACAGCAGTAGCTACAACAACGACAGCAACAGCAACAGCAACAACAACATGTCCTATTGTTGTCTACATCTAGTTGGCAGTGGTTTTACAGGAAGGGTTTCGCATGACCACTGGAGCTGTCAGTCCCTCATCTGTTCCACAATGTTGTGTGCACAGAAGCCAAGGATTCACTGTGATTCGCTGATAAGTCGAACGGTGTCAGTTAGTGCTCTCTAAGAGTTGTACGCCATTGATGGGAACTAAATGCCACAGATGTTGGGCACAACATCTTTAAGCAAATATAGCCTAACAACGAACCTAATTAAATTTACTCTGATAATAAAGTTTTTGCTGATAATTATGTTTGTGGCAAATTTAAACGTTAATAGTATTTGTCTAAGATGCGTATAGAATAAGTGCATGTAGAGTCATAAAAAGAATATTGAAAACATTTTTGAAAATAATTATTCCATAACTTAAAGGTTACAAGTACATGGTATAAAATATGTATCTTATTTTTATTTTTCAAGATATTGCACGTATTTTTATATTTTCTTTAATTTAGTTTGATTTGTATAAAAACAACCAAAGTAAAATTTGTGTCCATTTGCTGGACTTAAGCTTGATCACTTTAATAAATATGTATTATTTTAGCTTTCAATAATAAATGAAGAACTAATCAAAATTCTAACGCATAACATATATCTTAAAACACCAATTTAGGCGATTGAAGCTGTCATAAAAAAATAATCACATTTAGTTGATTTAATCAGTTCATGAAATCACTGCAGGTCACAGTTCGGGGGAGTCGCAGTCGCAGTCGCATCACAGTTGTAAGTTGTTTGTTGCAGCCCAAAAACAAAGGACGTGTATCCTTAATGTAATAACGACTTTACAAATAAAATAAAAAGTACAAAAAAGAAGCAGCAGTAGCGGTAACAGTAGCAGTAGCAGTAGCAGTGGCAGCGGCAGTAACAACAAAGTGCCCAAGTCCAAAATGCGTGGGCTGGGCCTGAATGTCAGATTTGTAGATGGGAGCAGAGGTGTCGGGTGTGATGAAAATGGGTGAGCCTGGAAAAACACTCATTCACTCGCACACACAAGCAAAGTAAAGTAAAGGAGACCAAGATCCAACTCGTCGTGTCGACTGAACTAGAGTTGATTTCTTTTGCGTTTAGCTAGAGGACACCGCTAGATGCCCCATGTCGAAGTCGAAGTCGATGCCGAAGCTAAGGCTGAAGCTGAAGCTGGCCCTCTGCTGGGCACTGGCTGGCTTGTTTTATAACCTTTTCACTTTATTTCCCTGGGGGCAGATAAAAAATGAAGAAATCCTTATCACAGCGTGTCAAGGATTTGCTTTTGTCCATACCATAGGACAAGCGGCTCCATAATACGCTTATTTGTAACGCGTTGTGGGCGTGGCATGTACGTGGAGCCGGGTGGCGGCGGGTTCATCTGGCCGCGGGGCAATAATGCGACTTGCAGAAAAAAAAAGGAAAAAAGAAAGAGCAACAAATAAAAAGTTAACGATGAGTTTGTTATGTTTATATAGCCAGGCGAGCAAGCAAATGAAACACATGTGTAGCGGAAAAGAGAGAGAGGGAGAGATAGAGACGGGCAGCACATGGTAACAAGAACCCAATGAACTGGCCAACAACAATCAACGCACATTTCATGACAAAACGTAAAACTGCGTAAATACATTTGACGTAACCGTTGGCCGAGAAGAGTTGCCCTCTATGGCCCGCAGGTTCTAATACTTATGTATATGGGTTATGCAGCAAGCAGGCATGTTTATTGTTGTTATACCCTGAGAATGGCTACAAAGGGTATAATGTTTTTTTATCACGCGCATGTAACAGGCAAAGGAAAGCTTTTATGACCTCATAAACAATATATACTCGGGTTGCTACAATCATTTGCATTCATATATCCAAAGTGTTTCAAATGCTTGTGACGCCAACCCGGCGCTGAGTTCGGAGTATCCCCTCGTCGGTCACTTCCGCCTGTAGCACTCTTACTGGCTGCTGTTGATGTAGCTGCTCCAACATTTAAATAAATAATGCAGTAACTTGAGCAAGTCAACCGGAAGGATCTTAGGCATAGCAATCAAATGCATGCGTGGACCATTAAAAGGCTGCGCCACAATTTAAATTAATTTACTTGCCACAGTAAATGCGGAGCTGAGATGTGCTGTATGCGTACTATCACTTTCGCTTTCAATTTCACTTGCACTTTCGCCTTTCAAATGCGACTCAATGCACAGATGCCTAATTAAGCTTAAAATTTGCATACTGCTGACAAGGCAAAGAGCTGCTGTGAGCTCTAACCGAATCAGCTCCGAGTTGTGGCTCAGGGATAATCAGTGTAGAGACACTGTACTAGCTAAACATCATCAAGCTTCAACGCAGCGGCGAGCGACAGCTGAGACAATTTGCATGACCAGCGGGCGGGTAGGGAATGGTAAGCGAGGGGGCCTCAAAGTTTCAGCTCCAACTATGAAGGCTGAGGTGTGACATTTTGCAGCTGCGTGTATGCGAGAGTCCAGCTCTGGGGGCCACGGCAAAGTTTGCCATGCCGCAAAGTATGCTAAGTTATGCGACGGAGAATGCATGCAAGCGGCTGAGATTCTATGTGCGTGCGTGTGTCTGTCTATGTGTGTGCCTGCCTAAATATGTGTGGCATTCCTGGCGCCGTTGACAGCTAACGCCGTCGCCGACGCTGACGCTTCCGTCGCTGGCTCTGATTATGCTGCGGCTGCGAACAATGAAGCCAATGAGGCAGCCCAGCTGATAAAGATGTCCTTCCGTTTTGAGCTAGGCGCCTAAAAGTAAGCAGTGCGTATCGCCCTTGGCTACTTTCGCTAGCCGGCAAACTTTCACCCTCGAGCAGGCACACACCCGCCCACCCACACACACACATACACATACTCGTTAGACCTGCAGCGGCACATCACGTAGACATCATTACGCCATCAGCAACAGCCGCTGCGTGTGTGAACTGAAAATTGTTGCCCGGCCAGCAAAAGTGTGGCAGCTGGTGGAAGCCGTTCCAGCTGGCCAGCGCCGAATGTTGCAAATAAAAACATGTCCCACACACTCACACACACACGGACACACGCACCCGCCAGCTGGCTTTGATGTCGCCATTGCTGATGACTTCATTAGCGCGCACTATCAGTGTAAATGGGCAGCATCATCATCAGCAGGACATGAGCCTGGGCCAGGAGGGAGTAAGTGCGTACAGCCTCTGGCGTTGACCGCAACAATCGTTGACCAAAAGCCACACACACACACACACACAAAGACACATTTATACACACGTTAACCCATTGGCGTAGTGCATTAGACGGTCAGTTCATTAACTGTGAATCATTATAACATTTAAATGAACTCCTGTTCTGGCCAGGATTCAAATGCATGTGCATATATATGCGGCGCCGGGCAATCGTAATTCACTTAGCAGTCGCACACAGAAATAAAGGATTAGTGCAGAGTTGTTGCAACATGCAAATTGATTGACTGCGCATCATTGGCTAACAGGTCAGAGCACCTTACTCCCCAACCCACATTACCTCTCAGGACCTTGCCACGTGCGTCTAATACGTCAAATATGCTTACGCCCAAAAGCCGTCATCCTTTTGAACATCCTTCAGCTGCTGCTGCTGTTGTATATTGCCGAAATCTTACTGCCAGGCCTTGACTGAAACGAGACAGCAAACAGACAGCCAGACAGACAGCGGGTTGCAAGAGGTGGAGCGTGAAGTGGCTGGCGAAACCTGCAACATTGAAAGCAATTCCATTGATGTGGATGCAGCCTCTGGCAACGAGCGGTGGCTGCGGACCGTCGTGCACCACCTTTCGATAACTTCTTTATGCAACTCTCTTTTTTTATCTATTTTTGCAGGTGCACAGAGTTAAGCCGTTTTTCTGAATACCCTGCAAAACAGAGCTTAACAGAGAGGCATTCTTAAAATGGGTTTATACTTAAATACAAAAAAATATATATTATATAATAATGTATATTATTTGTTCTTTATTAAAGGGCTATGTATAGAAAATATATAGATTTTGAAAAATCGTATGGTACATGCAACAATCTGGACAACTCATTTCTTGAAAATTTTTAGATATTTTTTAGGCAAATCGCTTTTGTACCAAACTCAATATTTTTTTTATTCATTTTAAACGTAAGACAACAAGAATTGAGATAATATAAACTCAATTAAAATATCTAAATTCAGCTTTATACTTATATGTAATTAACATAAGGTAAATTATAGCAATCAATTTATTTCACGTCGGGATTTTCGAACCTAGTTTAATGCTACATAAGGCTCGAACCTCTGACAATTTGTTTGGGCTTTCAGGTAAAGAAAAATTACACATCAGCCCAATTTTACTAATTCAGAAAGCGAGGGCAAATCCAAGTCAAGCACGCTCTGAACGTTTATTCTTTGCGAAATTCGGTGTGCACCTTTCTTTTATATTTTTTCTTTCTCTTTAAGTTTTTTTTTAAACCTGCTGAATTTAGCTGAGGAATCAAACGCATTACGTACAAAGCATTGAGGAGGCTCTTTCAATGATTTTATTTTTGTGCATCTGCAAGTTTGGGGTAATGAAGGATATTGAACGAGCTTTGGCTATTCGGCATGGTTGGGACTTGCAGTGGATTTCTGATAGCATATTAAGGAGCGAAGAGAAGGAAAAGGAAAACTTATCTCCAGGCCAAAGCGTATGTGAGTATCATTACTATCGGGAGATCTCTGGGCGAACTTTGTGAAAGTTATGCCACTAAAAGCCACAGTCGTTCGATTGGACAATCGAAGGGGATTTACGAAAAGCTGAGCCAGGCCAAATAACTGTGAGAGACTGACT